TTAGGCAGGTTCCCAGCATATTGTTTAGTCGGTGTTGGGGCAGTAGGGACAGTGGCGGCATGGACTGCCACAGTTTGTTGTCTTTTGGCAGGCTCTTGAGTCGGTTGGCCCTCTTTCTTGTTCCAGAACTTTCGCTTGTTATCTCCCCCCTTGTGGTGGATTTGAAGTGTCCATATCAATATGTATTAGATCCGTTAGTCTTTCACTTGCCTCACATAAACATTTGAACAATGATTTAAGTCATAATTTTCCAATGAACAAGATTCTCATATATTATACAATTCGAATTGTACGACACCAAGTATTTGTCCAGTTGGTGATGAGATTTCTTTTCACTTGGTCAATTATGACAATACAACAAGTGATATCGTAAGAATCAAATCCAAAATTAATATTGTTATTATTAGAAACATAACCAACACTTTCATAAATGTCATTACAAGAATATACAAATAAGGCAACTTCATAAACCAAAATTTCGATTTTATTAAAATAAATAAAAATTTTGGAACTTGTCCTTACAATGCATGAAATGAAAACTATATTTCTGAATATCTTCAAAAAGAGTAATAACAATCTATTAAATTATCCTAACTCCCTAACAGTGGCTCCAAATTCTGACCATCGAACCGTGTGACCAAAATCTATTTCCCACAATCAAATTTAGCTCACTAAGCTTAAGCTTCCATCTTTCTTTTTGATCCTGCAATACCATCAAAATGTGATCATCACATCATGTATTAAGAGTCTAAGAATAGGAACTTATGGAGTTAGATGATGGATGTACCTAAAGTAGAGTTACATAAATTGACTTTACTATCTGTAAGATCTTTCAGGTAGTTTCGTAGAAGAGAGAATCCAAGTTAGTTGATTTTAATCCTTAATTATTAACCCAAAAATTAAATTAAGGCTAGGATCCATATTTTCGATTCGAAATTTGAAGAGTGATGTCGTAATCAAATTCAAATCTATTTTAGGTAGGTAAGGTTTTTACCAATTTCAATCTTGTGAAACTTCTAGATCTTTTGAGATTCATTGAATCTTATCAATGACATGTTTAATCTCATATTATACTCTCACCCTTTGTGACTGGTATTTCGATGATCACAAACGAGATGTGAATAACCATGCAAACCTGCTTGATAACCTCGAGGTCATTTATCTTCTCAAATTGATGTGCCGGTAAATCACACACGCTCCATCAACAATGATAATTATCGGTTTGTCCATCACTCAACTTAATAGTCCCAAATTAATGTGACGGTTAACCACGCATGCTCCACTAACGACATCTAAAGAGTAATGTGCGTTTTCATGGATTAGCATACAACTCACATTTTGTCCTATAGTATCTAGAGTGAGATTTTAAAGTGGGTTCTAGTACTTTATAGTATATACTTTTAATGAGGTTATGTCCTATCAAATCCGTTCGGCTAACGACCCTCCACCATACAAGGGAACGGTGGGTGAGAGTGGACACTTAATGACGGTCATTTTATAGGTTGTTTCCTTATATCCCCTGCCCTTCTAAGAGTATGACTTCGTGAATGAGGCTTATTATTGGTTTGACTAACTTGTCTTATACATATAATATATTAAACTTTTAATCATATATAGTATAAGGTGTATTTAAAACTTTTCAAAATACTATGGTATAAAATTAATTTTCGAATTAAACTTTTAATAATTAATTAACTTTAAATAATTAATGATTTACCAATTATCTTTTAATTTAAATCATTAATGATTTAAATAACTATCCTCAATTAAACAATTAATAAAATAATACAAATTTAAATCATTTAGGATTAAATAATTATCTTCAATTAAACAATTAATAAAATAATTCAAATTTAATCCTAATCCAATAACCCTTCTATTATTCGAAAATAAAGGGATTAGGGTTAGTAGGTTTTAATTATCCAAATTTGAAGGCATTTAAATTATAATTTAAGGAAACCGAAAACCCTGGGGAAACCCTAGCATTTTCGAAAATAGGGATGGAGGCTAGGGTTTTAAAAACCCTAGCCTTTTGTGAAAATTTAAGGTCATTAGGGTTTAATATCTATAAACCCTAATTTTGATCAATTCACTATTATGCACAATCAATTAGAAAACTAAGGCTCTGATACCACTAATGGATTTTCTAGGTTATAAAACTTACATATGAGCGGAAAAACACTTAAACCCTTAAGTTCACATGTAACCTAGAAATGATCTATGTTTTCTCTATTGATAGCAATAACCTATAAAGAAACCCTAGAGAGAGGCTATAAAAATCAAAATTAACATAAAGATTAGGATTACATACCTTTTGATTATTATAGAAAATAATGAAATTAAGTGCACTTGAAGTTCCTTGGAAAGCAAACACCAAAAGGATTATGCCTTTAATTGCTCACACCCAAAACCAGAAACCCTAGAATGAGGAGGAGATATGAGAAATGAAGGGAATTTCGTTCCTATGCCTTTAGGTAAAGTGGTGAACGAAAATTGCAAGCCAATAGATCTTATTTATAGTTTAGGTAACTTGCAGGCAAAACAATATTTGAATAATTATATAATGAATTTAATTCTAATTCAAATCTTTTCTTTATTAACATCAAGTAGGCTTCTGGAAACCCTAGAAGAGCTCCCACAACCGTCCACCCTATGATGGTTCTAGAGTTGTCTCATTTCGTTAAATTATTGAACAATTACAATTCATCCCTTGGATCTTTAATTAATTTCAATTAATCTCGAATTAATTCCAGATTAATTCTAATTAATAATTAATTAATTCTAATTGATTTCTCAGTATCTTATTAATCATATAAATTAACAAATCAATTATTTTAACAATTGATCTCATATTAATTTATTAATCACTTAATAAATTAACAAATCAAGTGTCCATTTTCAATTAATATATTAATCATATAATATATTAACAAATCATTTCCTCATAATTTCCAATTAGTTTATTAATCATATAATTATCTAATAAATCATTACCTCTCTATAATTGTCATTCTAATCAAGTTGTAGTTATGAATGCAACTCAAAAAAGACTTTGATTCTAATTACAAGAATATACCAATTTAATTGCTAGCTTAGACACCTTAATCTAAAAAAAAAACTTAATAGTTATAAAATTTAATGCCACATTATTTTACATAATCATCTTATAAGACTCTCTTATTATTTGTTGACATAACGGTGCAAGGAATAGACGATGGATTAAGTTTTTTTGGCAGGTATGTAGAGACTATATTTACCAAAAACACCCGTTAATTTTGTTCCTAATTTAATGACATTAAAATATGATTGAATTACTCAATTCAGAATTTTAAATTTAAAAAGTGTATTATTAAAATTAATATCCATTTAATACCATATATGAAATTTAATAAAATATAAAAAACCATAAAATAACATGTGGATATAATTTAATTTAAAATTACCACAAAATGTCATGTGGCAAAATGCATGAGAAGATGACAAATGGAAAAAATTATCTTCATTTATTAGAGTAGATTAGGTGTAAGACTCATGTATTATATTGGTTTATTAATAAAAATTAAATATAAAGGTCTAAATATTTAAGAACTTTGGATTTATAAGAAAATAAGAAAAATAATGAATTATTAAAATTGATTTTTTTATCTTTTAAATTTAAATAAATAAACTAAATAAACTAATGGACTTTAATTTGGAAATTTTGAAATAAAAAGGTAAATCCATTAATGAAATTGATATTCATTTATTACTATATTTATTGTAATTATTACATTAAAATACTATGTGGAATTTATTAAAATAAAAAACCCATAAAATGACATGTAGAAAAGAAATTAATTCAAAATAACCACAAAACGACAATTGGCAAATTGAATAAAAATATGCCATTTGGCAAAAAAAAACATTCACTTATTAGAGTAGATATATAGCTAGGTTTAAGTATTCAAACTAATTATTATGTTAATGTAGGAATCAACGTGAGCCAATCATTTCTAAATAAGGTAAATTTTTAATGTTATCTATTAATTAATTTTAGTAATTAAATAAATATTTAATTAATTCCTTTAATTTAGGCAAGATAGTTTAAGAATTAAAAACCCTAACCGACCATACATCTCGTTCTTTTGTAAGAATATGTATGAATCTATATTTGCATTTCAATGTTTGAATATATATAAGGATCATGTTATATTTCAACTGAAGGTTCAAGAATGTTGTTTTTCTAGAAGAAGTTACTTCAATCAAAATATGTACTCTATCAGAAATATATTCTGACATTTTCATAGAATATCGTTCTAACAGAATTGCATTCTAAAAAAATAAAATCGAGTAAAATTAAAAATTATGTTAAAATTAAAAATAAATTAATTAAAAAAATCAGAATTCAAAATTAAAAGAATCAATATCCCTTAAAATATGAAATTTTCATTAATTAAACATGTTTTCCTAATTTAAACATGTGTCTCCTAATTTAAAGATAGGTAAATCATTACTTAAAATAACTAAAATCATTAGTCTACATTCATTCCTATATCCACACAATAATTAATTAGAATACAATAACCTAAGCCTCTATATATATATATATATATATATATATATATATATATATATATATATATATATATATATATATATATATATATATATATATATATATATATAAAAGAAAAATTCAGTTTTGATTTGACATAAATTTAGTTTAAAACAAATTTGATATAGTCTCAAATGTCTCATTGCAGATAGGATGATCATTTTTATAAATAGCTTAACAGTTGGTTAATGCATATTAACTCTCTACTTATGAGGTCATTTTTTAGTTCCTTTTGGTAATTATCCCTAAAATACCCAATTGATTGCCTAATAATTAGGAGTACAAACAAATATTAGCTCACAGCCGAAATTTTGAGGATTGCGACAAAAGGCTGCTGCTTCCCGGAAGGTTCTCTCATCGACTTCCAAACTTATCTATATAAAAGAGTAAGTTTTAAGTGAGTAGTACATTCATTCAAAAACACCCTCCAATTCCTTAAACACGTATTTCTATAACAACCACCAAAGCAAAGTAATCAATGGCGTCCACTGAACCATGGTTGCTTGAAAACGGTACAGTCAAGAGGCTAACCAAGGAGACCAGGCACGGCCATGGCCATAGCCGGACTGCCCATAACATGTCATCAACCTCCCTACGTAGAAAGTCCGATATGTCCCTTGTGTCAAAAGTGCCATGTGTAACTCTTAGAAAGTTTCTAGCCAATCTCCAAGAGGTCATTTTGGGTACAAAATTATCAATCCTTTTTATCGCAATTCCCTTTGCCATTGCTGCCAAATACCTCGGTTTCGCAAGAGTGAGTTCCTCTCGATGCCACTGTCATTGTAGAAAATAACTCTCAGAAAATAAGTCACAAATTCTAGATTATAAAGATTGATATTTGTGTATATATGGTAATTCATAACAACTAATTTTTATGGTTCCAATACAATATGACTACACATAAAAACTAAATTCGTTCGCATGTTATACATTAGTTAGAAATATAAACTAAAGAAATGCCTTTTTATTAATTTCATTATTATTATACTATATTTTCGTTTCTTATTACAAAATTATATATAAGTATAAGTGTAAAATATGTGCAATACATCATATATATATATATATATATATATATATATATATATATATATATATATATATATATATATATATATATATATATGTGGATTATTACAATCAAGAAAGTTTTACATTAACAATCTTCTTGTTTTATTTTGTGAAAACCAGCCATGGGTGTTTTCATTGAGTTTGCTTGGATTGATGCCTCTTGCAGAACGTGTTAGCTTCCTAACAGAGTAAGAGATTATACTCATTCTTTTATTATTATTATTACTGTTTTATATTTCTTTCAGGTACTGATATGTGTTAAATTCCTTTTCTTTATTCTTCTTATCAAATTACAGGCAACTTGCTTTCTACACTGGTCCCACAGGTACAGTTAATCATATCACTATATTGATCACTCTACTTATACAATCTATACATAACATTAATAATAAAAGACTTATCATTTGATGACATATATAAGATGTTAGTATATATGATCTATGTTAATTTATGTTTTATTATTGTAGTGGGAGGTCTCTTGAATGCAACATGTGGAAATGCAACAGAATTGATCATTGCCATATTTGCATTAATGGAAAACAAAGTGGATGTCGTCAAATATTCTCTCTTGGGTTCCATTCTCTCCAACCTTCTTTTGGTTCTTGGCACTTCTCTCCTTTGTGGTGGCATCGCTAATATCTCAGTGGAACAAAAGTTTGATAGGGTAACCCCATCCCCTCTCTATATATCTTTATATATAGTATCTATATGTATATGGCTATATGCATGCGTGTATGTAGATGTATAATAGTAAATTGACATGCATGTATACACTTGTTGAAACAGAAACAAGCAGATGTAAACATAGCACTACTACTACTGGGATTGCTATGCCACATGTTGCCACTCTTGTACAGATATGCAGCAGTTGCGAGTACAACTGCTGATGCATTGAGTGCAGCTACAGCAACACTGAATTTGTCCAGAGCTAGTTGTGTCGTCATGCTTGTTGCTTACTTTGCTTACCTTATCTTCCAGCTATGGACTCATCGCCATATCTTTGAAACCCAAGAGGTATAAATGAAGAACAATCACGTTATAATTTGTGTTTGAAATGAAGAATTGATTTGTTGATTAAGTAAATTAACAAATTGCGCATGCAGGAAGAGAATGATGATGACATGGATGTAAGTGACGATGAAACAGCTGTGATAGGGTTTTGGAGTGGGCTGATTTGGTTGATTGGAATGACTGCAGTCATCTCATTGTTGTCTGAATATTTGGTGGATACCATTGAGGTATATATATATATATATATATATATCTACCTTTTTCTTGAATATAATAATTTTTCAGAATTTTATATAATTTAGTTTAATAAGATAATAATTTGGATTTATAATAGGAAGCCTCGACTTCATGGGGAATATCAGTGAGCTTTATCAGCATCATCGTGCTACCAATTGTTGGAAATGCAGCTGAGCATGCTGGAGCAATCATCTTTGCTTTCAAGAACAAACTGGTATTTTTTATTTTTATTTTCTTTTTTCCATGTTTTGAAATTTAGGGTTTTTTTACTTGATCTTGATTATTTATTGTGTTTATTCACAACTGAAGGATATAACTTTGGGTGTTGCTCTTGGTTCTGCAACTCAAATTTCTGTCTTTGTGGTGAGTTTTCTTTCAAGAATTTAAAGAACTGATGTATATTTTGGATTTATTTTATTTGAATTTTGGAAATATAATTTGGATTTTAAATTTTTATATATATTAGGTTCCAATGAGTGTTATTGTCTCATGGATAATTGGCATCAAAATGGATCTTGATTTCAATCTCCTTGAAACTGGTTCTCTTGCTCTCACAATTATAGCCACAGCTTTCACATTACAGGTATATTTTCGTCATATTTACATAATTTTCAACTTAATGTTAAAATATATTTTCAAAAATATATTATGTATGGAAATTTTGCAGGATGGAACTTCTCATTACCTTAAAGGAGTAGTTCTTCTGCTTTGCTACTTTGTTATTGGAGCTAGTTTTTTTGTGTCCGTTTCTCCAACTGGTAAAACTTCTTACATTTATGTCTTATTTGTACTTCTTTATTTATTGCTCATTATTTGCTTTTTCATATTTTTCTAATTATTTCTTGAAAACCTTCTCTAGCACCAGACTCCAATGGTGTGAAAATGCAACTTGAATCATCAAACCATGGGATCTTTAGAGTTTGAAAGGTCGTCTACTATTTCTCTTTTTTTTTCATATTTTCTAATTAAAAATGAGAATAACTATTTCTTTTATCTATGTATATGAAACATTTTCCTCACGTATGAATATTATTTAAATGCAGGATTTGAGTTTTGAGGTAGAATCTTGAAGCATGATGCCTTTTGTACTTGATTCTTTCATTGGATTGGACAGAGCCGAGTGGATTATGCAGTGTTGCTTGTATAGTACAAGTAGAAGCTTGGAGGTCTTTGTATTCTTGTGTATGAGTCAATATTTTGCTGTAATTTTTTTGTTAAATATGATAAAAGATCACATATTGAGTGGGATGATGTGTGATATAAATAAGTCGTGTAAAGCTTTAGCTTTGCTTCTTTAATCTTATTTAAATAAGCCATGTAAAGCTTTAGTTTTGCTTCTTTAATCATATTTAAATAATTACTTCTATTTTGTTTACAGTGTTCATATGCTATATGAAAAAATATGAAATTTCATCCCTCTTTTTTGTTTTATGTGAAAGAATTCTTTGTTGGATGTTTAAACTTATGGTTCATCCAATGTTGGATCCATCCAAATTTTACGGTGTTTTCTCTCTCCTTTTATTGGTTATAGTATATTGAAAAGTAGAGTCAAAGATAAATAATCATATTTGTGATCGCCAGCACATGGTTTTGATCGGGTTCAGCACACTTGATATGATGATGGCAAGACGTGGCATATTAGCGATACGTTACTAAGTTACTTCAAACATTAAATACGTTCCTATATTTATCATTCTATCTATTTTAAATATAACATGTGTCATCATTATATGCATAAAATGATATATAGCAACAAAATATAAAAATATATTTAACTTTTCATTTTTTTCTTATGATGATGTTGGTAGGTATGGGCGAGCCATGATAGATCAAGGCGTGTTGTAATGGGTTTTTTTTGTCTAGGCGTGTTTTATTTTTCTTTTGGCTTTTCTTGATTAGGCATAATTAAAACCATTGACGGGTTTTTGCTAAATTTTTATTTTTTTTTTAACGACAGTTTGACTTGTTAGGTGTTAATGTTAATATTATGTTCGTGACCACTCAATCCTCGCAAACTAAGAGGTTATGTCTCTACTAATTGGGCTATTCCTAATTGGCAAATTATAATACTTCTAAAAATTATAATATATGTATATATATTTATCGTTATGTGTTTTTTATAAACATTCAATTTGTTCAATATAACTGAATAAATAAACACACACACACACATATATATATATATATATATATATATATATATATATATATATATATATATACTAGTTTATAACCAGTGAGAACCATAGTTATAAAATTAATTAAATTTTCATAATAACACAAAATTATTAATCAATTATTTCAAATAAATTATTTTAAATAAATTATTAATTATGAAATTTTTTTATTTATATAAAATTATAATCGTTGATTTCAATAAATACATGAAATTATATCACCATATAATATATTTTAATTATTTTATTTTATTTTTTATTCTAATGTTATTAATTTAATGTAATTAGAGTGTGAAATTTAAAAATTGAAATTTGAAAAAAAGAATTAATTATTAATTTAATGTAATTAGAGTGAAAATTTTAATTTTTGAAATTTGAAATGAAGAATTAATAGGTTGACATGTGGCATATAATATTAATGAGGATTTCTAATATTATAACACTTGTCACTAGGAGAATAAACTTATTCATTTATTACAATAGGTAGATATATATATATATATATATATATATATATATATATATATACATACTAGACGAATATCGCAAAATAAAATTAAAACTTTTTGTAATCTTATGTTATTGAAAATATTTATATCATTTATATTAACTATAAAATAATAATTATTTCATTTATTTTATATAAAATTATACTTAATTTGAACAATAGATAAAATAACGCTTATTAAAATTAAATCAGTTAATGGTTATTACTCATGTTTTACGTATGTATAACATTAGTTATATTTGTCAACTATTTTAATTTACTACTGTTATGATTTATTAATTTAAAAAAAGTTTGACGGTGTTTTATTTTTATCATGATGATTATTTAAATTATCAACAACTGTTTGTAATCTAACATAATTTTATTTCTAAGTTTCTATTATTTTTAACTATTATTATTATAAATTAATTTAAAAACAACTTAACTGAATTTTAGTTATTATAAAATATAGTTTTCAGACACCTTTTAGTTAATTCGATTCATCGATTTAGATTCTTTTATATTTATTATATTTAATTTTTTCCTTTTAACTATGTTAAAAATATATATATATATAATTTTTTTTAACATTATTTAATATTTTACTTTAGGTTTTAAATTTTACACTAAATTTTTAGCTTATTTGATATATTAATGTAGGTTATTTATTTAACAATATATTGAAATTAACAAATTAAGTATATCATATTGATAAGTCACAAAGTCTTCCATATATGATAATTTTTACAACTAAAAATATATTTAAGTTAATAAATTAAGTATATTAAATGGAAATATGAAGAATTTGGAGTTTCAAATGAATGTGGTAAAAGAAAAAATATTTCCTTTACAATATAGTATGATATATATATATATATATATATATATATATATATATACACACACACACAAAATTATTGACTTAAATCCCGCACTGAAAATGTCATGACTCGTAAATTTTGAGTCATGATTTTATCGGAACAACGCATCACACGCCATTTAAAACTTTAGCTTTGAACATATCATATCACCACTTTGGTTTATTTATGTTTATTTAAATGATATTATTGATAACTCGGCCCTATAAAAAATAAATTTCAACCTGGTTATTTTGTCACCCATAAGTTGCACATCAGTGAGTTTGAGTACTAGATCCGTTGTCGTACAACAAATATAAAGAATAAATATAAAGAATGTATAAGTTGATTAAAATGACATGTAGCAAATTGTGTGGGATATATAATATGAGAATTGTTAATTAAAAATGAAAATTCCTAATGAACAAACAATATAATATTAACTATAAAGTTGAAACCTAAACATCTTTTTAAAAAATAAAAATATTTTTTTGATTCGGTTAACTGTTTATAGCAAAAGAACATTAGCTGTAACCGAATCAAAAACATCAAATAGTTTAGGGCTACAGTTAACCAAATCGAAAGAAGTAAAAAAATGGTTTGGTTTACCCAAAATCGGTACGATATTAATTTTTAGGTTTGGTTTTTCAGTTTTGAATATTTTAAACATCTTTAAGTACATTGCTTATTCACATTTAGATTTGACAAAAAATATCCAAAATGGAAGTCTTCAGATATAGAAGACCATTTTTTTTTTTTGAAATTATCACAAATTATCTTTTATATACATAGATATACAACATGTGACATTAACCAACAAATCGTATTAAAGAGCATACACATAAGTCGTTACAACATATGGCAAAGGAGCACAAGAAAAAAAATTTCAAAAAAGGTTGAATACAATTTTGTCTTACTACCTTACTTAGGCCCCGTTTGATAGACATTTTGTCAGGTCCAAACAGATCTTTCTGGTTGAATGGACCGGAAAGACTGTTTGATATACACAAAAATAAGTGTTTCCCGGTAAGATATTTCTATCCCGGAAAGCTCCAAAACCACATCTTTATGGCTGAATAAGCTGTAAAGACAATTGTAACCCAAACTCCGCCTCTTTCTTTCTTGGATTATTAATTTCTTATAAATAATTTTTTTAATTTCTTTTTTTATTGAATTATTACTTTTTATTAGATTATTATATATTAATAAATATTAGTTTTAATATATAATATTTATGTATTGATTGATATTATTTTATTTGATTATTATTATTTTTTAATTTTTTTATGGATTAATTATTTTTTTATTAGATTATTATTATTAATAAACATTATTTATAAATATATAATATTTATGTATTAATAAATATTATTTTATTGGATTATTAATTTCTTTTAGTTAATTTTTATAATTCATTTTTATTGGATTAATTCTTTTTTTTTTTGGACAACACCACCATCATCCTAACAGATTTTAAAAAGTTTCATCCATCCCACCACTACTGGACATAAACCGGGTCAAAAATCACATGTTAAGTTATAAAAAAAAACAAAAATGGCTAGAAAGAATAACAACGTAAAATCAACTTGAAAAATAATAAACTAAAAACAACTTAATCGACATTTTATTTGGATTTTCAAATAATTATTGTGTAATTTTGATTTTGTATAACAATTTGTATGTATTTATAATTATTCAACAATTTATCCATCACAGTATAGAACAACAGGGTAAAATTGTCATTTTTCATCATTCAGCACAATCAATCAGATGTACAATCAAACAACTGTTGGGTTTTGATACGAAATAAAATAAGTTTGTTTTTCATAAAAACCGGCAACGGAAGACTTTAAAAATAATATGTTTATTTTAGCTCATAACAAAACCACACCATCATGGATCCATTTATAGAGTTTAGAATGAAATAAAAACAACCATAGGCTGTTTTAGAGATAACATTTGAAGCCTTTGAACCCACTTGGTTTTGGGATGTTGATGAAGATAACAAAAGATCAAAGTGTATGGTATTCTCTACAAGTATCCACCATCAAGAGTAAGGCACTTAGAATGCTAGTTCCTTCTTGTATTCTTGAGTGTCTAAAGCCTTTAACTACTTAACTCAATTAAGCACTAAAAGGAACAACTCAAGAGGTCTTCTAAACACCAAACTAACTTCAAAAGAGAGAGAGGAAGAGAGAGAAGGAGAACCCACGGTTCTAGAGAGAAAAAGAGAGGAAGAAAAAGAGCTTCACTCTTTCAAAAATGCAAACCTCGTGCATCTCTTATATAACCCATGAAAAGTAAGGTCTAAGCATTAAAATAATCTAAAGTAATGGTAGCATTTAGAAGCATGAGAGACAAAAAGATGGAAGGTTGAAAAGCAACCTCCCACACCATCATTATGCCTTTTAAAAAGTAAGATTCTTTATTTTTTATAAACTCCAAGTTTATAAAATATAAACTTTGTCTTTATGTAAAAGACAAAAGAATCCAACTAGTCTAAAATGTTGTGCATGACTTATTAATTCATAGCATATGAAATAATAATTAGTAATACTCTCTATTATTATTCTCAAAAAACAATAATTATTCCCTAATTAAAATACAAGAATTGATATTATTTATTAATAATCATATTAATAATAAATATACAAAATGTGTCAACTTGATAAAGGTGTGACCCTATAGGATCATATATTATTAGCAATGTCACTCCATAATGATTCTTGGGCATATAGATTCAACAACAACAAGATTTCTTTCTCAATCAGAAAACTTTCTCATACAATACTTTCCCAGACACAACTTTCCCAAATAGAAACTATCAAACGGGACCTTACTATCGATTACATTCTGT